GCGAGAATATTGCCACATGTCATGATTGTGTGTTGTCGGGTCGTGGATTTGCGAAAATATTGCCACGTCATGATTGTGTGGTGTCGGGTCATGGATGTGCGAGAATATTGCCACATGTCATGATTGTGTGGTGTCGGGTCGTGGATTTGCGAGAATATTGCCACATGTCATGATTGTGTGGTGTCGGGTCGTGGATTTGCGAGAATATTGCCACATGTCATGATTGTGTGGTGTCGGGTCGTGGATGTGCGAGAATATTGCCACATGTCATGATTGTGTGTTGTCGGGTCGTGGATTTGCGAGAATATTGCCACATGTCATGATTGTGTGTTGTCGGGTCGTGGATTTGCGAGAATATTGCCACATGTCATGATTGTGTGGTGTCGGGTCGTGGATTTGCGAAAATATTGCCACGTCATGATTGTGTGGTGTCGGGTCGTGGATGTGCGAGAATATTGCCACATGTCATGATTGTGTGTTGTCGGGTCGTGGATTTGCGAAAATATTGCCACGTCATGATTGTGTGGTGTCGGGTCGTGGATGTGCGGGAAGATTGCCACATGTCAAGATTGTGTGTTGTCGGGTCGTGGATTTGCGAGAATATTGCCACATGTCATGATTGTGTGTTGTCGGGTCGTGGATTTGCGAGAATATTGCCACATGTCATGATTGTGTGGTGTCACGTCGTGGATTTGCGAAAATATTGCCACATGTCATGATTATGTGGTGTCGGGTCGTGGATGTGCGAGAATATTGCCGCATGTCATGATTGTGTGGTGTCGGGTCGTGGATTTGCGAGAATATTGCCACATGTCAAGATTGTGTGTTGTCGGGTCGTGGATTTGCGAGAATATTGCCACATGTCATGATTGTGTGGTGTCGGGTCGTGGATGTGCGAGAATATTGCCACATGTCATGATTGTGTGGTGTCGGGTCGTGGATGTGCGAGAATATTGCCACATGTCATGATTGTGTGTTGTCGGGTCGTGGATTTGCGAAAATATTGCCACGTTATGATTGTGTGGTGTCGGGTCGTGGATTTGCGAGCGTATAGCCACACGTAATGATTATGTGTGTGTTGGGTCTTGGATTTGCGAGAATATTGCCACATGTCATGATTGTTTGGTGATGGATCGTGGATTTGCGAGAATATTGCCAAACGTCATGATTTTGTGGTGTCGGGACGTGGATTTGCGAGAGTATTGCCACTCGTCATGATTGTGTGGTGTCGGGTCGTTGCATCACTTCATGGAAGTGCGATATCGGAGTTTGTGGTTTTGTGAGAACATTGTATCACTTTAAGGATGGTTGACACTTGGCCATCGACAGAGGAAGAACAAAGTTATCTGTATAAGTGGACATGACACGTAACGTTGCTCACCAAGAGATGTGTAGTAGTTTCGCCTGGTCACCATGACAGAAGGCGAAAACTTAACATGTATACACACAACCAGTCTTCAAACCGAACGAAGACACACACACACACACGCACACACACACGCGCACACACACACACACACACACACACAAATATGCACATTCAGCAGGTATGGCATCGGCGTTGGAGAAATGCATCGGTCCCTCGTGCAGGTGCGCCCGGGCATTCTCCCACAGAGAAATATACAAACCTGATGTGAATTGACAAGCAAAAGGCAATAAAATGTTTTATTGGCATTTTAAGTCAGTTTAAATCCGTCTCTTTTAATGAGCTAGTTGCACGTGGTATTTGCTGCTGCAGTATTTACGCATCTCGCGATACAAACATTCAAACATGCTGCCATTCCGCTGACTGTTTTTAACTGCAGCCAACTCAAGGATTAAATTCGCTGCTATCATTGTATCCAATGTGAAGCGTTGTGGGTGCAGAAGAAACTATATACCAGTTTGTAACGACTTCAGCGTCGAAGAGTTCAGTTTTAGCAAGGATGAGTACAGGTGAAGCGGAAACTGTACATGTTGAGAGAATTGGGAATTGAGGGAAGACGCCAGCCTTGAGACACTGGACGCCGACAGACACAGGACATGTTGCGTGGAGACACTGGACACAGGACATGTTGAGGGGCGTGGTACAGACGCCAGTCTGAATACATTAGACGCCATTTTTCTACAATAGTATTGTCCTCATATCCACTTAAAGACATACATACAGCACGTCTTTGTCCAAAGCACCGATCAATTTATTACATCTTAAAAATGCTCTTCTGTTAAATGAATGGTCTTGCAAAAATCAATACATAATCTTGGCCGTAACTCGAGAAAACATCTGAAATATGTTCCCACGCAGATCAGAACGTACATGTATACATGGTTTTGATTCCATTACTTGCCTATAGGCTATATCTTTTCTTGACTGAACTTGGGTGAGCGGAAATACTTCAACAGTCAAGACCAGTATATATATTTTATATATATATATACAGTGCTGTTATTTTGAGTCAGCCAATGTCATATTTCAATTTAAGTTTCACATTCTATGGTGTTGCAAAGGTAGCACGTGATCCGTGTTGCGAAATACCTCCTTGGATTTATCTTTCTTACATTTGCACTCCCTTTCTGTTGAAATAGATCCAGATACCTTGCACAGACAGACATGCACACACTTATGGGGCAATCGGGCGAAACTGACATCGCGATGGGTTGCGTTTTTTTCCAGGCGATTTAGAGCTTTCTGAACTCAACTAAATGTAAATAGAGTTACCTCCCTTACACGAGGGAATTGGGGCTGAACATTAGCCTGTTCGCCTCCTTGTGAATGACCATTTCAGAGACAGACATTCAACCTGTGATGCACCATTATGGTTGATGATTCAAATGAGGGCAATAATGAAAGGCCTTTACCTCGCTGATTTCTTTGTCGTGTCTGAAATGTACCCAATGACATTTCGTAATTATATTGACAAACTATTGTTCGCGCAGAGACTACATGAGTGTTAACATTTAACGTCGCATCACCAATAGTTTCGGCGTCGGAAGTAATTTATATTTGAAAATATTCATAATTAGAGAATAAAATGAATTATGCATGTTCAAAAACATATTTCAGCTTTCGCGTGGCCATTGTTGGACCTGTGCGCTGTCTGTCCCTTGTAGCAAGCGGCGGCCAATGTGTGTGACAGGTAACATTGACATGGCGTGGATGCGAGAGGTGTACACACTCGCTTGCGGATCACCGACTCTGACAGTCACAACACCGCTGTTATGTCACACGCGTGGTGATCTGTAGTGGGGCGGAGACTGCTCCATCATAGCTGCTTGTCACTTACAATCACCTATTGACAAAATCGATGAAAGACTCGTGCGAATGAAAGTTAATACCCCACCTGTTGGAGACCGTGTGCATAGTATTTAACCACCACTCCTAATTAACACCTGTGTTAATTATCTAACAACATTGATCTCAGGCATGACACCGTTACGCTCGTGTGCTAACACTCAGTGAGCTAAATTGCACGCAAATCCGTGTGTTATTAAATATCATGTGAATTGCGCCGAAGACTTGGAGACCCGGGTATTGAGACTATCGGCTTGTCTTGGTGGCGGATTATTACATCAGAGTCAGGACTTATTCTATCGATAATGTATAACCAGCCAGGTGTTTGTGTCTCTGTTCGCACAATTTACACCTTGTGTTACCGGGGTACCAGTGATCTTACATTGTAATTAGACAAGACAAAGAGCGCTAGGTTATACACGAGCGACACATTGACGAGCTGTCGTCTCTGTTATCGAAGCCCAACATTGCATGGGAGCCCTCTCTCTTCCACGCCAGATAGGGGGCCCCGCAACAAGTCGTAAAGTGACTGTCCGTATAGATACAGGGATTAAGATGTGACAAGACTTCTATTTAGCTGATACCCTGTCAATAGGCCAGCCAATTTATAAACGATTGCCGTTGTTGACAGACCAACAGCGTGGTGCTTGCAATTCGCGTGGGGGATGGGGGCTTGAAGTTTATAGGAACACAACGCTATATACACATATCCCAATCGTATACCGTTACACATTATGGCGACGGGCAAATGTCAGCGCAGCGATGTGCATCTCCGCCTCATCATCACAGCCGGCAATGTCTACTGCAACTCAACGTTTCCCCGCAGCCGGAGTGTGTGCGAGGCAGTTACGTGTACACACAGCCCACTAATAAAGACATTGAGGCTTAATTTCTGAGATATTCCACCTCCACAGAATCTAGTCTACAATACATATACTAATTCCTTGCTGAGCCAAGTGTGTGATGCAGTTTTCCTAATTAGAGTGTGATAAACCATTTGCATGTTCATAATAATCAATAGGTAAGCCAAAAGGCCAGAATTAAGGTCGCACTAACAATATCATCAGAAGGATGGTTATAAGAAAATATTTAGAGTAAGCATCAAAGAATGTATGTGTACTTAAGGAATCGCCCACATACCTCAAATGATGACAGAAGTAATAGTGTTTCATTAGATACAGTAATTGGTGGTTTATTTCAAAATCAGAAGAAAAAGGCAATTCCGATGCATGGCCAAATCCTATATTTGTTGTTGCCTAAGGCACAAAGAATATATTTATTTGTTTCTACTCAGAAATCACAAATACGAAGATAACAGGTATATAAACACATGTGTCACAATATTAGCAACGTGTAGTTATAACAAGCATACAGTTATCATTGTCGCTGTTTTCCCCCCGAATCTCTTAAAAAGGATGAATAACTGATGTGGGCGTACTTTCATAACAATCGTTAAGTAATCAGCTGTCGTCCTCGCTGCGCTTATAATACGCCTCCCTCAAAGGTACAATGGTGCGAGTGTTGCTGTTGTTTCACGGCCTGTGAATTCGTCTGCAAACAGTACATGCTATATAGTGAAGTTTACTGTTATGATCCGCTATAACGATGTAAACAAATCCATGCTTTCTTAGGGCGCAGACATTTTGGTTCATAGTTCACGGGATTTTGCTTCAGACAAACGAAAACACGAGCGGCGATTGGCCAACGACACCTGAGGCCAGAGTTTGCGAGAAGTGGAGCGGGACTTGGCAGCTCAGTGCGCGAAAACATTTCAAATGCGCTCATAGTAGTGAGGGGCTAAGAAGTTTTCGCCTCGAAGAAATCAAGTCTGTTTTGTGAGTTCCCCGCGCGTTTCCAAAGGAAACTCTATGAGGATATAGGAGATAACATTTTCTACAAAAATGGCGCGGGGGACTTTTATTTGTGGACTGTTATTCCTGTTTGGATTATGCGGTAAGTGAACGTCTGCTTTCTATGCATAGATTCGTCTGCTATACGCTAGATTTGACACATGTGCCGCCGGGGGCAGTGTGTAATTCCTTAGCCCTCGGGTCCTACTTGTGTTGTATTGGGGGAATAATCAATGCCTCTTCACGCTTTGTTGACTCGTGACAAAGTATGGGGAGTAGTGGTACTGAGGACACTACATTAATCCGAAACCTACACTTTCAACTTGCAAAGTGAGATAGTCTTAGCTTTCAATAGCGCCCGTGTAGGAGTCGTAGTACTATGATGATTTACCTTGTGAATGAAGTGGTGTGTAGTAGCATCGCGCCGTGTTTGCACAGCGTATAGATTATGAAAGGGGCGGAGGAACTATGAAACTGAAGCATATGAAAAATACCAGCGACATGTTTCCGTGGGGTTATATCAATGTGCTCAACAGGCAAATGTTTTAGAAAATGGACCAAAGACAGTGGGTACCGCTGGTTAACTGATTGATTGAGGAAGACGGATGCAGTCCTCTCTAATCACGCGAGGTAGTCAATAAGAGACCAGTTCATTGAGATCAAGTCGGGCATTGTTCATACACATAAGCAACAAACGTGGAAATGGTTTCCGTACGGAATGTCGCAGTAGGTGCAGGCTGTAGAGAGAGGTCAGGCCGCCGGATTCCAAACTCTGTTCCGTGGCACTGTGGAAATCTGAGCCTTGGGTCAGAGGCCGTGATACCAGTAGGTTTTGTACAGTTCTTCCCGCATATCAAGCACTTCCGATGCTGATTTAGCACCCACCTTTTCGGACCAGCAGCCATATGCCCTAAAAATCTTATTGACAATCTCGACAACCAACTAGGCCAATGTGAGAATGAAGGCTCCGAGAAAGTTTAGTGAGTGTCGTGTTGTTTTTCGGCGGATGAAGATATCAATTTTCAGTAAAAACTCCCCAGACGTAAAAAGAACTCGACGGTCAGATAACGGTTTCAGAATCTCACATAGCACCGAAATATTATCGCCAACCTCAAAGAGAGTTGGGGGCAGAAAGTGTTATTGTATGCAGGTCTGCTTTTAGGCTTTACCAGTTCTTGCCATGGTATGTGAAGCGAGAAGTCACTCGTAACAGCACTAAAATAAACTTCTCCTGTCTTACTAGAAGCAGACATTCTGCCAATTATGTTTACATGTATATTCCACGGATATATAGCAGCCCTCACTTGAATAGTAGCCAGAGGAATTACCTATATTTAGGTAAATGTTTTCTGTGCTCATCTCATCAAATTTATCCTGTAACTCTTGCAGTGTGTTCAATACATCACCATTACCATTGTCAATTAATAAATCAAATATACATATTATATAGCCAAAGGTCCATTGTGCTTATTGACTTCTCCAATACAACACACTTTCATTCAATATACATTAATTAAATACACATATGCTTTAACTAAAATCATCTATTGATATAATGTTTGAAAATATTTGATCTTCTATTTACCTTTTATATATCATTCATTAATTTTGCATGGTTTTTTATTCTATTAAAAAATATGTTTGGTCCTAATGAATTAAAAATTAATATTAACATAAGTGTTGCAATTTTTACAAGTCTAATGAAAGTACATAATTTACATGCTATCGGAACATTTCTTTTGTTTATAGGTGAGAAGATTACAAAATACTGTTTGTAGTGAATTTCTTTTCTACTTTTCAAAATGTATATGCGTATAGATCTGTAATTGGACAGAAAAGAGAAAGGGTGGCCTCATCACTGCTTGTTGATGAGAATGTTTTTCTTTTAGTTAGGTCCTTTACCTGAACCTGAAAATGAGTCCATTAATTGTCTTAGTCAATAAGTTTATATTTTGCCAATACCTGGAAAAAATACTTTTCAAGGGGGGGAGGTAAAAATTAAATCAAAATGCTTAAATTGTTGTGATACAAATATCGCTTTCTTTACTCTAACAATGAAAGCCAAAATACTTTCTTGTCTGGTGAATACATCAACTGAATGGATACAAATTGTGCATAGAAGCATGGCAGGCCTAAACCCTCTTGCACATGACCTGATGATCAAAGTAAATAAATTGAATCCAGATAATACTGTTTCTATGAAGTGTGTGGCTGTCGTCAGTCTAATGTACAAGTATTTGTTGCATCCGATAGACATACCACTCCATACATTACCCATACAGTGAGGTAGTCAGGAAAACACAGCAAGTGATTAGAAGAGCAAGGTAATACATACCTGATGAACATTAGCAAACAATGAAAGGAGCTGTTGATGTGTTTATCACTCACTCAGTTGATGTGTTTATCACTCACTCAATTCTATAAATCATGCATTCTCTCTTATTTTCAATGTCAGAAGCACCCGAACAGAGTGGAGCAATTTTCTTCACTATTTGCTTTTGGATTTCAAACAGAGAAGTCAGTAAGGACTAACTTCATTATCAGCAGACTGAATGCATAAATCTTTTGCATGGTAGGATATTTTTAAAGAAGTTGAAATGCCACATGAAAAGAAACTGATATAGAAATTATACTTTGTTTTACAAATGTTAGTAGTGAGTTGCACATGCTTTAATATCTCATGACTAATAGGCTATATTACCATAGATTTTGGTTGATATGGTTGCTTGGCACCAGTTTGTTTGTTAAATGTTAGCAATATTTTAGAACATTGATGCTAACCTGAACAGATTAGCTGCTGAATGTGCACATTAGTCATGTTAGTCAGGCTGTGGAATGTTGTTTAACTGCAGATTTCTTTTCAGTTTGGTTTACATGCTTTAAGTTATCTATCTCTCAATAAATACTATAGCTTCATGAATGTCTGCCTGTTCTTGGAAGCTTTGTGTGGTGTAGTTAGACTTTGGAGCAAAGTATTTCTGGAAAACAGTCCGCGAAACAGGAGAGATTTCTATCTAGGCACTGGTTACATGGAACCACAACTTGGTGAATTTCATCAAAGCCAATGTTCCTATATAACTGCAGATATGAGGATAGACCACGATGTTATCGGTCTTCTCAGTTGGTTGCCCATCTCCTGTTTCTGGTATGGAGGTCTTATTGTATGTCTCTTATCAGAATATGTTTGTTTGACGGTGGTTATGCAAGGTGTAACTCCCTGGCTTCCCTGCCTTTGCCATGTACCATGCTAGGCAGGACCTGACAAAAGTCGCTCCTTTTACATATGCAGGCTTGGTTCTTACAGGGATGGCAGAGAAAGTTCTTTGAAGTGTGGCATGTACAGATATCAGAAATCAGATTGTATTCACAACTTGCAAGAAAGACACCTTTCAATATATTCAAACATAGCACTGTAATAAATCAACACAAATAATTTATCATTGTTATCACTGTCTAAATAAGGAAGAATTTATAAGGATCTTCACAAGGATGACATTGGAGAATGATGATAGGACTTCAGGGTTTTGTGTCGCGCTGAAATATGCATCCAGTGAAAAAACAACACATGGTTGGAAGCAGAAGATATATAACCTGGGTCCTGACAAATATCCCACATAAATTTATCATATAGGATTATGAATGGCTTTAGAAGTCCCTGTCTCCTAATGAAGAGTGTGTAAAGGTTATCATCATGATGTAATATTACCGTTACGTTTTACCTTGTCACATCTAAGAACTTAAAGTTTGACATGTAACTGTGTATTATGGCCGGTCCCCCACACTTCTCATGAGGACCTGTAAAATTGTATAATGTTTTACCTACACAGGAATCTGGGAGACTGTGTCCTTGTATGTTTGGAAAATAAATAAATAAATATATATATATATATATATATAGAGAGAGAGAGAGAGAGAGAGAGAGAGAGAGAGGCCATTGTCCCCCTTGGGTCCAGTAAAGTGTGTGTTTGCCCTGCCCTGCTGTTGGCAGGGGTGAAAGGGCTGGGACTCCATGCCCTGCTGACCTCCCTCCATAGCTCTACTTCATGCCATGTGGTAAAGGTATGCAGGGTCACACCTCTTTCCTCCATCACCTTGCTCATGAATTATCTCCATATAAAGCTGTGCCATTAATATTCATCTCATGTGGGACACAGGAGATTGCTGAGGAAAATTTACCATAGCTGTCATGTTGCTGTTCTTTAGCAGTTCTCCGTAGTGAGTTTCCCTTTGGTGGTGTATACCTGGGCAGCACTCCCCAGGGTCTCTGTCCTCCACCCAGCAGTGATCTCTCTCTCTCTCTCTCTCTCTCTCTCTCTCTCTCTCTCTCTTGTGATAGTTTTAGGTGATTCAGCTTTTTATCATGCTGTTATGTTTCAATGTTTTTCCAGTTATTTGATGTCATCTGTCACTTCAAGACTGGAATAAATAGAGGATATTTCATGTTTTGAGTGAAATATCATGTTTCTCACATAGAGTGAGGGGGATCAAGGAGATAAAACCTCCTCCTCCTCTCTCTCTCTCTCTCTCTCTCTCTCTCTCTCTCTCTCTCTCTCACCTTCTTTCTCCTCCTCCCCCCCCCCCCCCACACACACACAGCTTGGGATCTCAAAATTATTAGGTTCTCATGCAATATGTTAGAAAGTGTCCATCTGACCTGAACAGAATGGCTTTATTGCATCTTTGAAATTCTGTCTGATGGCATATTTTAAATGGCAAGACCTCTGATGTTGTGGTTGAGTGGCCTCAAGCCTGTGAACTATTATGCATTTTGTGACTGCTTTATTGGTGTTGACAGTTTGGCCATGATTCAGTGATCTCCAGCCAGCACATGGCTATCACCAACACAGCTTTAGTCAGTTCAGGACTGACTTGATGGTGCTCAACCATGACACCAAACTTGCTTTGCTAGAAGCATGATTGTCAAATACACATCTATCGTGTTGACTGACAAATACAAAATTTGTTCTCTCAATGTAAATAATGTGTACTAATGAATATTTGAGGGCCACATTTTAATAACTACTAACTTTCTGACCCTCTGAAGAAGTCCTGAGCTTTGATGAATAATATCCAACTCCATAGCACATTTTGAAAACTTGAGAC